CTGCCTCCTACGATATTTGCTATTAAAATGTTCACTAAGTTTATTTATCTTGTATGCACTTTACACTGTCACTCTGCTCTCTTGTTTTCTGCCACTGTCACGGTGTAGAACTCTGTGTTTATTATCCAAACAATGTGAGGGCATTTATTAATACCCCTTATTTTAGTTTATTGTTGTGTAAAGTATTAGATTTATATACAAATTGTTAATGAGAATATTTATTTCTGACCATAGGGGCAGCTGCAGTCCTCCACTGGAAAGTTGTCTTTTCAGAGATGATAGTTCTCTGTAACATGTCTGGTGTGTGTTTGTGTGTGTGCGTTTGTGTGTGCAGCCTCTCACTGTCACCACAGCATCGCTCACCATGGCGGAGAACTTAGCAGACTTGATTGACGGCTACTGTCGCCTCGTCTCAATGGAAACCCACTCATTTATTGTCAGAGTTCAGAAAGGTGAAGTTTCTTTGCCCTCCTTTGTTTCTGGTTCTGCAAAAGGCTTAATTCATTACAACTGGATACTTTTAAATGATRTTAATGTTTATTGTGACTTTTATTTATTTATTCCACATCCAAGAGTTCATAATATGACACATTCTAGTTGTTTTTATCCATTCAAGATTAACTGTGAGTTAGTGTCTTTATGGTCAACTCGCGTTTTTAACCACAGTAAATATTTTTGTCCTCTAGAGGGAGAGAGAGCTCTGCCTTCCCTCCCAAAGTAAGTACAGAAACTTTTCAAACTACCAAAGATCATAATGTCAGATATAATCTCACAGATTAAAGATTTCTTTGATTGTTGTCCACAAGATTTATATCAAATTGAAGTAGATTAGTACAAGCAAAAGCAGGAAACTGTTAACGATACAACGTGGAAAATAAGAGTATTAAACACATTAAAGATTTAAAAGTCATTACATGAGAGTTTTATTTGTTTCCCACAAAGTTCCAACTTTTCTAGGAACAGGTTGTAATTTGACAGCAGGGAGTTCATCATACGTCACTTTGTTTAAGTTCAAACATCAGCTTTCCTTGTGCTTACTTTTCATCTTCAGTCTTCCCCGCTCTCTCTCTGGGTTTCTGGTCTAATAAGGAGATAAGTTTCTGAGCCAGAATGTTTCCACTTTGGGTTTTTTAAACACTCTTAGACTCCTCCTCCGCCTGGGTTTGCTCTCAGCCTGCTCTCATCTGTAGTGTAAGGTTCGTAGTAGAGCTCAGCTGACACAGAAACAGAAACCACGGAAAGAGGATAAATAGAACCACTAAGGATTTATCCACAGATGGTGGGAGTTTTTGTTACTTTTGTAACTGTTTTTTCTATTTCAGAGGTCATAAATCTGCTGGTATGATCTCAATTTGAAATGCATGTTAAGGAAACAATTATTAATTGTGGTAATTTATCTGTTTATTTTTTTGAAGTGGTGCCACTTTTAACTGGTAAATTTAATGTAWTTTTTTCCCTTCCAGACTGTCTAATAATGAGAAAAAGTTAGAAGCAGTCAGGAGTGGAGTTCGAGCGATCTCTGTCTCAGGTAAGACAGAAAATCAACACTAAAACAATCTGAACATGTCTTTTGTTCCAAATACTTACTATTTTGTCCTCTCTGTAGATACTTCCTCCTAACCACTCCTAATACAGTTTGTTTGCATCTTTCCTCCTCGTCTTTCTCGCCGCACTCGTTCTCATCCATTCGCTCGTTTTTTTTTTCCTCTCGCTCTGTGGCTTTTCTGACCGGCCCGATTGGCTGAAGAGCCAGTGACATCGCTGATTCCTWAGCCAACCGAGCCGTGGCGTTTCCTCCTCCCGTTTGTCTTCTGTTCAGATTCTCTGCCCAGTGGTATCCTCGGATCTCATTGGACGGCCACTAGAGAAGCTTGTCCACAAAATTGAGATGTGGCGGAGTAAAAAAATTCACTTTCGACTATTGTGGTTACTGGACATGAAGGAGTCGTAAACTGTGCGCTCTGAGTTTTTTTTAGGGAAAGAAATAACCTTAATTTACAGAAAGTACGTAAACATTWAATTTTTATTGATTGGCTTGGAGTATTATTTTGGTCCTGGATTATATATTTTTTTAAAGTTTAGAACTTCATATGGTGTAATGTTGAGTTAAACTGTTTAAACCATTGCATCACAGCACGCCTCAATTTTTAGTGTCCTTTTTATATAAACGTGGTTTTGTCCTTTTAGCTTGTTGATTTAATTTATTTAGTGTTACATAACTTAAAGTAACCTTTCGTTTATTTCTGCATACAGCTGGTAAAATGCTGACTAAAATTTCTGGAGCACARTTAGTAGAAACATGTGTTTTTGATGGATTAATTATTGTTTTTCTTAAATAATATAAACCTTTTAACCTCTTACATAGGAGAAAAAGTATTTATTGCCTTGTATGCTTTGTTTTGACTAAGAAGTTGTACTAAAGTAGAAAAATGGTACTCAGCTCATTRCATGCCTGCTGCTAAGATCTTTTTTGATTATTTTTGTTCTGTGTGTAAAGTGTTTTAGACAGAGGGRGGCYGTATGTTAGTTAAAATAGCAACTGYCTTGTTGAAATGCAGAGAAGTAACTCAGTAACTCTGCAGCTTTAAAAAAACTCTTCTGGATTTAATCTTATAAATGATTTTTTAATTTTTTTTGGTATGTTGTTCTTGCAACACAACTCTCTGTTTGAAGTGCTGCTCGTGTGACGACCCTAAGGAGACCGTGCGTGACTTCGTGTCTCCATCTGCTGCTTTGGCAGCTGTCAGTGGCTCAGAGCGAGTTTGTGAATCTGGACAGCAGCTGTGTCTTTGTCGACACCGTTTTCTGTTGAAGTCCCTGCACACTATGGACAGACACGAGTGTTATCTCATTAGGCTGCAACTAGTTGGCAAGTTAATGTGAGAAAATACGAAAGAATGTGAGACTCTGCAACTTGTGTGGGGAAATTGAGAAACCCCCCGCCAACATGGCAAGACAATATGGAGACTGATTAAACTAAACTTAGCACAAAAAGTATGGAAATTTGTTTATTTTTTATTGTTTWTTTATTTGTTGTAACAATGCTTTTTATACCATATTTATACCTTAAATGGTGCCACATTTGTAAGGAACATGCATTTGTGGGACGAGCTGTAGAGCTGAGTATGTGGGTTGTGTACATGAAAAATGTGCCATATCTTCTCTGCAAACAGCTTTTTTATCTGTTTTTGTTTTGAGCTTYTGCTACCCCCAGGTGCTGCCAGTCAGGTGCCCACTATAGAAGCATTGTTACAACAAAGAAGAAATCTACCAAACACACATTTCCTTACTTTTTGTGTTAATTATAGTTGTCAGCAGTAGCAGCTCAGTTTTGAAAGTCGAGCTCATTTGTTTTCTACATTTTAGCCTGAAGCTTATCCCTCTGTCTGTGTTCAATAAGAGCACATTGTGTGTATTTTTTTTTACTTTGGTTACAGTGTGGATGTGAATACCTTCTAATTAAAGTTGAGCATATCCACTTCAAACCCATAATCATCACATAACTGTGAAAGTATTCACTATGTTCAGGTAAAAGTTTTGCTTTTAAGTTAGCTACTGTCTAAATAACATTTCAGACAAGAGTTTGAGTTTGTAACTAACTGCTCATGAAGTCCTTGGCCTTTTCAGATCCTGCAGCACCTCCTGTGTTCTTTCAAAGCTTGTCATGCTCTAACCTTAGTTTTTTTTCTCTCTGCTTCTCTGTTTCTCTCCTGCTGCTTGTCTCTTTCTGTCACCCTCCCTCTCTGCTGTCTCGTTTCCTGCATGCTATCCTGGACCTTGCAGAAGATCTTAGTGGGGATGGTAAAGTTACACTGTTTATAAATCTCTCTGTTGTTCTTTCTTACTTGTCCTGCCTCGCCAGCACACTGCACCCTCCTGGGAAAGGGTAGTATGTGTATTTTGGTGTGTGGGTTTAAGTTGATGCTGGCATTCCTACTTCTTTAACAATGCCTCTGTCTGTCTGTGCTCTTATATAAATGCGGTTTAAATGAAACAAATAATTTACTTTATGTGAAATTTTTAGCATTTTGCAGTAATCATCATCAGTTTKAACAACTCCTTTTAGCACTAATGTTTGCATACTTTTATGGCATTGTGTTTTAAGACCTCTGCATTTTTTATTTTGTTGTTTTGAAAGTGGATTACCACAGAATATGTCCGACTTTAACCACAAGAACAACCCGAGAAGCAGAATTTGTAAAACGAGAAGCATTCTGCTTTAACCAAACTTTGGCAAAGCTCTCCCTCGCTTCACAAACACAGCCACACRAACCGTGCACTTGTGCGTTTTCATGTATACACATTTGTGTGCGCACAAAGTGAAGAAGGGAGAGGTTTGCTGGATTCAGGAGCGGGTGCATTCCTGACTATTATGAGCTAGCTAGATCCCACACAAAACACTCATATTCTGTTTTCTGGAAGCCGATGGGACGATGGAGAAATGTTGTTCCTTTGTAGAACATCTGCAGGATGAAAGAAACAGTGGTCTGTTCAGTAAAACTGGACAATCCTCTTAAAATTGTCTAYTGAATATGTTAGAAACTATGTCATCTTGTTAAAAATGTCAAAAAACCATTAGAAGCTCAATCTAAAAYGTATTTTTTGTTTTTCGTTAAGACTTTTTGGGGTTTAAGTTTCTTATTTTTTTAGACAACAAAGTATTAGTGTTCCTCATCCCATCATATGAATTTGTAAGTGGTGCAGTTATCATATTTATGCGCGCATAATGCAAAAAATGCAACCCCTAAAATCATCCTTAAAGGGGACCTATTATGCAAAATTCACTTTTTAAAGGTTTTTTTTTACTCAACTTTGGGTATGTACTTCTTAATAAACAGTCCTAGGACCAAAAAATGCACCCAGGGGCATATTTACTGTAAGTAAATGTATTTTTAATGTATATTAACGACAAGTTTTATACCATTTTGTGATGTCACAAGCCGTACGACAACCCACCGGAACCTGCGTTCAGCCCCTTACCTAGCAACCCCCAGGTGAGACTCCACCTCCTCAGAATAAAAAAGCCATCACGGTTGTTGTTGTGCAATGTGTAGCTCAGTTCACAACAAGCCTCCAATAGGACAATGGGTAGAGTGTTGGACCAGAGAGTGGGAGACAAGGGTTCGAGACCAGCACGTCACAATTTAATTATTTATTTATTTTCATTCATTATGAACACGTTTTCTCATGTACCTCTATTGTTTAGCTTATTAAAGCCTTGTCAAAGCCTATTTGTTCGAGTTTCTGAGGTATTTTGACTGCTGCTGCTCCGTGCTCTGGTAACAGCATGCAGAGTGAGCGCAGAGCAGAGGAGGGGGAGAAAAAAAAGAAAAGGAAGCTGTGACCACGACTCTGCCTCTGGGTCTCATATGGATGTACAACGGAGCTTCTGCTATTATTAGCCATGCTAAGGTAAATGCTGGCTTTGGAGGGTGGAGTTAATGTCAACAGATTTTTGGAGGGCGTTACCAACAGAGCTCATTAACATAAACAGCTCTTCTGAACGRAAGTCAGAGCAGGCAGAACTAGAAAATGAGAAATTTTATTATCTGAGAATTATTTTGTGCATTAAATTGAATGAACATGGTCTGGATAGCCCACAGACATAACATAAAAATTTCTAGGACCCATAATTGGTCTCCTTTAAAGTGGGGGAGTCGTATTATACATAGGAGTGAATTTTGACCAGTTTTTTCTAATGAATAAATGTAAAAGTTTTCTGATTTATAACTGAAATATTGTGTTGCGTGGGATAAATCATCATTATTTCTCCCTCTGTCCTCTCGCACACCGGAGTCAAACCTTTTTATTATTTTTTATGTTTTTAATGTATTTTGAAGCATGGTGCAGAGATGAAAAGAAGACAGACGTCAGTTGCATGCTTGGTTGCTCAACAGCACCAGACGAGCTGCTCTTCAAAGCTGCTCCWTCTTGCTAATTTAACAACCGTCTCTTTCTGTCGGAATTTGTTTCCCCATCAGAGGGTACTGAAAAATCCTGAAGTCTGTTTGAAATTAGGGGTTGCATTATACACGAGGATTCCATTTTTATGCTTTTTAAGCTAAAAAAAAAAAAAACGTGGTCTCATTACACATGCATAAATATGATGTAAAAAAATGAATGATTGGAAGTCGGAATAAGTTTGCAGAAAACAAGTTGATTCTCTTCTAAAAAGCTTTATTAAGACTCTCCTCAGTCAGCTCACAGCGTGTCAGTCAGGCAGGGCCTGAGATKTCGAGATCATGGTTCTTATCAGAATCATAACAAAAACAAACCCTTTCAGGAGCAGCTGCTGTTCAGGCTGCCCTAAAAATATAATGAATGAATTACCCTCTGGAAGTCACATGTACATAAACCTGGGGGCACCCCAGGGGGCGGTACCTTTTACGTCAGACATTGGAAAATAAAACAAACTTTGCCGTATTGATGGAAACCTACAGACTCTCTTTCTGTTTAATCATATGAAAATACAAGAAGTATCCTGAATTCAGTTAATTAAGCTCAAAATTTCCTTCAACTGTATTAATAATTTAATGTTTAATTGTCATCATCAGTTATCCTGCCTCATTGGTTTTACTGACCAAATCAGTAAAAGTTACCTTCATTTTTTTATCCTTTTTAGAAGAAATAAATCCATCTCCAGTTAAATTTACTGATGCGTTCCCACAGAACCTGTTTAATCACGAGCCGAACTGTGAGAGGAATGTTCAGGACAACAGATGTTTGGATCTTGTTTCCAACAGCTGAGTTTGATTTTATTTTAAATGCCACCATCTGGTCAGGATAAACTCGGTCCATCTTCCACGTTCCTTCTCCTCTCTCTGTCTATTTGTTTCACTTTCCACATATTTGATACTAACAACTACTAGTTCACTTTCTYTGTGATCTTCTTCGTCTTAAAACTTTCAACTTTGTTTCTTTTCTTGTTTCAGCTTCAGTTTTCTGTTTCTTATTTCGGTCTCTTTTTTTTTTTTTTGGTTCCTCGTCCACTCCTCCGCCGCAGTAAACTCCCTGCAATCCAGCTGCTCTCGCAAAGACAGATATTCACAACACATGCTCCGCTGACATTATCTGCCAAGTGTTTGTGTGAGAAAAGAGCAGGCGGGAGGGGAGGAGGGACAGTGAGGAGCTACGTGGGTGTTATTTTGCGCAGGACGTTTAGCTTCATCTCTTAAGTTTTCTGTGCTTTTGTGAATTTAAATAACGTGACTCATATTTGTCTGTTTGTTTTTTCTTGTGTCATTTATATTTGTGTCTGTCCAACATTGCAGAAACTGATGACTATGCAGAAATAGTTGATGAAGAGGACACATACACCATGCCCTCCAGTAAGTAAGCCGTTTCATGTTTTGCTGAGCAGAAAGCATACTTCAGGATCGCTAAAAATAAAGAGCAAGCCTCACTGTTATTACTTTGTCAAATGCCTCCATCCTCGAGCCAACGTCCATTTCTTTCTGCTACCTAATAATCAGATTGTGGCGTGAGTCATTTCCAAGCAGCGCACTCACTCAACGAGCAACGGGGGCCGCATTAAACCAAAAATTATGTATGTAACTACGGTTCTATGAATCCTGAATGACCGCCAGAGGGCGGTGCTAAAAGCACTGAATGACTAATACCAGCGATGTCACAAGGAATCCTGAGCACCTACCTCACTGAGAAGGCCCAGAGGACCCTTGAAAAAGAACCGTCCCAAAGGGTGAGGAGAAGCCACATTCACATTATAAAATCTAGTGAATGTGCTTGAAGAAGACCATGATTC